TACTACTACTACTACTACTACTACTACTACTACTACTACTACTACGACTACGACTACTACTACTACTACTACTACTACTACTACCACTACTGCTGCTTCTACTACTACGACGACGACTGTTACTGCCTACTACGGCTACTACTTCTAACTACTACGACTACTACGACTACTACGACAACGACGACGACGACGACGACGACGACGACTACTACTGCTTCTATTATTGCAACTACTACTACTACCACTGCGACTACTACTACTACTCATACTACTACTGCTACTACTACTACTACTACTACTACTACTACTACTACTACTACTACTACTACTCCTACTCCTACTAACTACTACTACATCACTACTACTACTACTACCACTACACTACTACTACTACTACTACTACACTACTACTAGTACTAGTACTATAGTAGTAGTAGTACTACTACTACTACTACTACTACTACTACTACTACTACTACTAACTACTTCTACTACTACTAACTACTACGACCAACTACTACTACTACTACTATACTAACTACTACTGCGACTACTACTACTACTACTACTTACGACTACTACTACTACGACTACTACTACTGAAGACTACTACTACTACTACTACTACTACTACTACTACTACTACTACTACTACTACTACTACTACTACTACTACTACTACTACTACTACTACTACTACTACTACTACTACTACTACTCCTGCTACTGCTACTGCTACTGCTACTGCTAGCCTGGCGAAGAACCCGACCATATGCAGTTGTCAGTTCCGCAGCTGCGGGTTTCATCTTCGGTGGAAGTCCCCATAGGACTACGGAACGTGTGAGGGGTGTGCCGAGATGGGTGCCACTGGAACGTGTGAGGGGTGTGCCGAGATGGGTGCCACTGGGGCATTCGGCGAAGCTCCCTATGGGGACATGAAACACGCGCGGGGCGTGCCGACATGGGTGGCGGAAGCGCATGTGAGGGCCGCCGCTGGGGCCTCCAGTGGAGCTCCCTATGGGTCCCCGAAACATGATGCTGCTGCGGGGGGGGGGGCGGGATGGGTGGCGGAGACGCATGTAAGCGCCGCTACTGGGGCCTTCGGTGGAGCTCCCTATGGGGCCACGAAGCGCGTGAGGGGTGTACTGGGATGTGTGGCGGGGACGCATGTGAGCGCCGCCGCTGGGGCCTTCGGTGGGGCTCCCTATGGGGCCACGAAACGTGTGAAGGGTGTGCCGAATTGAGTGCGGGTGGTGACGCATGCGGGCGGTGCCACTGGGGCCTTCGGTGGAGCTCACTATGGGGCCACGACACCTGTTGTTGTGTGGGGCGTGCCGGGATGGGTGGCGGGGACGCATGTGAGCGCAGCCGCTGGGGCCTTCGGTGGAGCTCCCTATGGGGCCACGAAACGTGTGAGGGGTGTGCCGAATTGGGTGGGTGTGGGTGACACATGTGAGCGCCGCCACTGGGGCCTCCGGTGGATGATGGGGCCACGAAACCTGTCAGGGGTGTGCCGAAATGGATGTGCGGGACGCATGCGCATGTGAGCGCCGCCACTGGGGCCTTCGGTGGAGCTCCCTATGGGGCCACGAAACGTGTGAGGGGTGTGCCGAATTGGGTGTGCGGGGCGCATGCGGGCGGCAACACTGGGGCCTTCGGTGGGGCTTCCTATGGGGCCACGAAACGTGTGAGGTGTGTGCCTGATTGGATGTGCGGGACGCGTGCGGGCGGCAGCACTGGGGCCTTCGGTGGGGTTCCCTATGGGGCCACGAAACGTGTGAGGGGTGTGCCGAATTGGGTGTGCGGGACGCATGCGGGCGGCAGCACTGGAGCCTTCGGAGGGGCTCCCTATGGGGCCACGAAACGTGTGAGGGGTGTGCCGAATTGGGTGTGCGGGACGCATGCGCGCAACACTGGGCCCCTTTCGTGGTGGGGCCTTCCTATGGGGCCACGAAGGCGTGTGAGGGGTGTGCCGAATTGGGTGTCGGGACGCATGCGGGCGGCACGGCACTGGGGCATTGGTTGCGAGGGGCATCCCCTATGGGGGCGGGGAAACGTGTGAGGGTGTGCCGAATTGGGTGTGCGGGACGCATGCGGGCGGCAGCACTGGGGCCTTCTGTGGGGCTCCCTATGGGGCCACGAAACGTGTGAGGGGGTGTGCCGAATTGGGTGTGCGGGACGCATGCGGGCGGCAGCACTGGGGCCTTCGGTGGGGCTCCCTATGGGGCCACGAAACGTGTGAGGGGTGTGCCGAATTGGGTGTGCGGGGCGCATGCGGGCGGCAGCACTGGGGCCTTCGGTGGGGCTCCCTATGGGGCCACGAAACGTGTGAGGGGTGTGCCGAATTGGGTGTGGGTGACGCATGCGGGCGGCAGCACTGGGGCCTTTCGTGGGCTCCCTATGGGGCCACGAAGCGTGTGAGGGGTGTGCCGAATTGGGTGTGCGTGACGCATGCGGGCGGCAGCACTGGGCCTTCGGCGGAGCTCCCTATGGGGCCACGAAACGTGTGAGGGGTGTGCCGAAATGGGTGTGCGGGACGCATGCGGACGGCAGCTCTGGGGCCTTCGGTGGAGCTCCCTGTGGGGCCACGAAACGTGTGAGGGGTGTGCCGAATGGAGGATGAATGACGAATGATGATGGTGGGATTCGGGGGGGAGGGAGGGGGGGGTAGGATCTGGGGAAGCCGTTGAGCGGGCGCGCGTCTCTTCAAAGCGAGGACCCAACCCACAGGATGGTTTTGGGAACTATTTATTATTACACACTACTAACTACTACTACTACTACTACTAACTACTACTACTACTACTACTACTACTACTACTACTACTACTACTACTACTACTACTACTACTACTACTACTACTAAACTACTACTACTACTACTACTACTACTACTACTACTACTACTACTACTACTACTACTACTACTACTACTACTACTACTACTTAACTACTACTACTACTACTACTACTACTACTACTACTACTACTACTACTACTACTACTACTACTACTACTACTACTACTACTACTTCTACTACTTCTACTACTACGACTACTACAACGACGACGACGGTAAGCGACGACGACGAAACGACGACGACGACGACTACGACGACGACTACTACTACTCCTACTCCTACTCCTACTCCTACTACTACTACTACTACTACTACTACTACTACTACTACTACTACTACTACTACTACTACTACTACCACTACTACTACTACACTACTACTACTACTAACTGTGTGGCCACGAAGAGCGTGTAGGGTGTGCCGGAATGGTGGGCAGGGACGCATGCAGTCAGCGCCATTTGGGCCTTGGGTGTAGCTCCATATGGAGCCCACGAAACGTGTGAGGGTTATGCCGGAATTTGTGGTGGGGGCGCATGCGGACGGCAGCACTGGGGCCTTCGGTGGAACTCCCTACTACTACTACTCTACTAATATACTATTACTACTCCGACTCCTACTCTACTCCTACTACTACTGGGCCTCCTACTCCTACTCCTACTCCTACTCCTACTACTACTACTACTACTACTACTACTACTACTACTACTACTACTACTACTACTACTACTACTACGTGTGGCCACGAAGAGCGTGTAGGGTGTGCCGGAATGGTGGGCAGGGACGCATGCAGTCAGCGCCATTTGGGCCTTGGGTGTAGCTCCATATGGAGCCCACGAAACGTGTGAGGGTTATGCCGGAATTTGTGGTGGGGGCGCATGCGGACGGCAGCACTGGGGCCTTCGGTGGAACTCCCTGTAAGCCACGAAACGTGTGAGGGGTGTGCCTACATGGGCGGCGGGGGCGCACGCAGGCGGTACATTGGGCCCTTGTGTGGAACCCCCTTTTATGGGGCCACGAAACGCGTGAGTGATGTGCCGCAATGAATGCCATAAACGCATGCGGGCGGCGCCAGTTGGGCCTTCGGTGGGGCTCCCTATGGGGCCAAGCAGCGTGAGAGAGGTGTGCCGAAATTGGTGGCGGGGACGAATGCGGACGGCACCAGTTGGGCCTTCGGTGGGGCTCCCTGAGAGGTGTGTGCCGACACGGGTGGCGAGGACGCATGTGGACGGCACCAGTTGGGCCTTCGGTGGGGCTCCCTGTGGGGCCACGAAACGTGTGAGGGGTGTGCCGAAATGGGCGGCGGGGACGCATGCAGGCGGCACCAAGTGGGGCCTTGGGTGGAGCTCCCTGTGTGGCCAGGAAGAGTGTGAAGGTTGTGCCGAAATAGTTGGCAGGGGCGCATGTCGGCGGCACCATTTGGACCTTCGGTGGAGCTCCCTATGGGGCCGCAGAACGTGTCAAGGGTGTGCCGAAAGTGGTGGCGGGGACGCATGTGGGCGACACAACGTGGGCCTTGGGTGGAGCCCCCTATGGGGCGACGAAACGTGTGAGGGGTGTGCCTACATGGGCGGCGGGGACGCATTCGGACGGCACCATCTGGGCATTCGGTGCGGCTCCCTGGCCCTATAGGGCCACGAAGCGTGCGAGGGGTGTGCCGACATGTGTGGCCGGGACGCATGCAGGCCGCACAAAGTGGGGCCTTGGGTGGAGCTCCCTATGGGGCCACGAAACGTGTGCTGAGTGTGCCGAAAGTGGTGGCGCGGACGCATGCGAACGGCACAATTTGGGCCTTGGGTAAAGCTCCCTATGGGGCCACGGAACGTGTGAGGGGGGATTTATGCCTTCGGTCGAGCTCCCTGTGGGGCCACGAAACGTGTGAGGGGTGTGCCTACATGGGTGGCGGGGACGCATGCGGGCGGCACCACGCGGGGCCTTGGGTGGAGTTCGTGGGGCCACGAACGTGTGAGGGGTGTGCCGACATGTTGGACTGATGCGGAATGCAGAGGCAGGGATGGGAGGAGGGAGGAGGGGGCCGAGGAGGACAGGAGAAGAAGGAATGCGGGGCGCTGTCTCTTCAGAACGAAGACCGAACACCACAGGATGCTTGGGAGAAGCAAGCACGACGGGCACCCACGTGACCTGACTCGGCCGCGGCCCCCACGTGCCCTCGCGCGGATCGACCCCACGAGACCCTGGCGGATCGACCCGACTCGATGGACGACGTGGAGGCATGGGGCCCGAAGCTCTGGCCGCGATCTTGCCTGGGTCACCAAACACAGCGCTCCGCACTCACTGGGGCCGACATTCTCGACGTCGACCAATGTCGAAACTTCGGCCAACTTGCGTGTATATCCACGGCATCGCGGGCTGGGCCCCTCGGCCGCGACACCCTGGATACGGGGCGTTCTGTCGCGGATTCCCCGCGCGAAGCGCACAGCAATGCGATTGCGCATCAACCGGATCGCGCCCTGGAAAAAGTCCGAACGCGAATGCGTGGATGCCATTGTTCGCCGCTCGTGGGTGACCTCTCTCTCGGTGGGCGGATGTCGGGGGGTGCCTGAGCCGGAGCGTGTGGACGGGCTCGCCTTTGTCGAAGACCGTGTGCGTGGCCGACGGGGAGCGCAGCGCGAAGGCGGTCGTCTGCTCCTCGCCGGCCACCGTGGTCATCCGTGTCGGCAGGTGGGCTTTCTTGCCCTGCCGCGGCTGCAGGGTGTTCGGCCGCAGCGTCGACGACGGGTGCGGGCGCGTGCTGGGGACCTCCCTGGCTCCTCCTCCCCCCCCCAGCATCTGGGTCGGGGCGGGCGAGAAGGGGAGAGGGCTATCTTGCATGCGTGCTTCACGCTTGGAAACCTCCGCCCGCATGGTGCTGCAGGGCAATGTCAACAATTTCAGCTGGAACACTGCATGGTTTCTCTGCTCCTCTCTTTGCAACAGAACGGCGTCTTTGGATGATGCTGGGCGGAGTCCGAAACAAAGACGAAGAGGGGTTGCAAAGCGAGGGTTAGCGAATGCCTGCGCCGGAGGCGCCAGTGTATCGAGGAAGGCGCCCGCCTGCGGAGCGGAAACAGCGTTCGTGCGACCCGGAGTGGGTGGTGGCTGGGAGTTCGGGCGGTGCACTGCGTCGGGCGGGATAAGCCATCATGCTATTATGCTGTTATAAAGGGAACGAAAGGGCTTGTCTGGCCACGGTGAGAGCCTCCTCCACGAAAAGCTCGTCGAGGCAGTCCAAACAGGATCTGGGGCAAAACACGTGCCCTTGCCACGGGGCAGGGGTCGACAGTTCTGGAGCCGCAGACTGAAAACATAAGGTCTGCTGCTGTCAGGGCACTTACCGCGTTCGGCCATGGACCCCTTGTTGCCCAGCGCCCTCCGCCAGAAATCGGCGGTCTGTTGACTGGTGATCGGCAGGCTTTCGGCGGAAGATCGTGGGTCTTTTCGGCAACAATCGCTGATATCTCTGGTGGCCTTTCGCGCACAAGCAAGACAGTCAAATAGAGCCAGGGCTCCGTGATTCAACACAAAGACCAAACCAAAACATTTGTCTCCACTGGACTGGGCTCAGTCAGCCTGTCAGTCTGGCTGCGAATGCTCTCCTCTGCTCTGCCTGCCTGGCCGCGAAACTGCCGACCAGCTCCGGGTGAGCAAAGCAGAGACTCGGTGCCTCACGGCGCGCGCCACAGACATGCCATGACGATTGCAGTGCAAGAGCTCCGACAACCCACGACACTTAACCACATCTTCGCCTCCCTCCCAGGCAGTGCCCAAGGATGTCGCCACTGAAGGGAATCCCCTGGACCCCCAAGAACGCCCCAGGACCCCCAGAGACGCTCAAGAACGTCGAAGGCCACCTCGATCCTCGATCCTCCCTCCTCCACGACCCTCGACTTCAAGGAGGAGCTAGCGACCCCCTACTTACCGGCGACCCTCCTCTGGCACTGCCCGACCCTCCTCCCCCCGACCTCCCTGGGCAAGGACTCGTGCAGCTCAACCCGTATGGTCCCGAGCTCGGGGTCCGCCCGGTCCTCCTCCACGTCTGGGAACGCGAAAACGAAGGGGCGGTACTTGAACGCCTGTCGAGGGCGGCCAAGGGGGCGGGGGAGCGTCCAAGAGGAGGATTCGCAAATCATGGCCCGAAGCATGTGCGGGACGAGGGGTGGGGGTCCAAAGGAAGTTTTGAAGGAAGAAGAATGGGCCATGATATCCGTGGAGATATCAGGAACCCCGCCATGATGCCCACCCCCCCGAGTCATCTCCCCCCTGTTGGACGCCCCCCGAGCCTGCCGGTACTGGGCCGCCTCCGGGCCAAGCTCCTCGTCCGACTCCTCTGGGAGGAGGGTCCCTCGAGGCACATGGGCGGACCTGGCCTGGCGTTCGCTGTCCTTTCTGGGCCCCATGGAGGCTTCTCGTCACCACGGCTGGGCCCGCCACCAAGAACGGTCCAGATTAGACCCCAGCAGGGGTCTGGGGAACGACTCCGACCGAATTGGGGCTGGGCAAGAGAGCGGCCGTTGATGGGGAAACAAAAACAAGATCAATGACGCGCCAATGGCGAGCCCAACAGCGTGTTACGGTAGGTTGGTGCGGCAGAGGCGTGCGCAATTTTTTGACACCACATCGACAGTTCAACCTTGAATCGGTCGCGGCCCGGTCGTTTAAAATTGAATTCAGTCGGGCGCAATGACGTTACCGTGTCCATTGGTGCTTCCGCGTCGCAGATTTCCACATTGAACGCCTTCGCAAGCGTCGCCGGCACGCCAACGCCGCATGAGCCTACCGCGCCATTGAAGAACTATTCGCGCAGAAACGAAGGAGTAACACTCTGACGGGCTTCTAGACCAGACCCCCGACAACGTCGTGATGTTTCATGACGTGAGCCCCCAGATGTCATGACCCCTTCCTGGAGACAAGATTTACGCACATCCTGAATAGTTTGTGCTGCGGCCCCGGGGCCCAGGGAGGGCCCCTGCAGATGCTGACAGAAACCTTCCGTCACTATTGTTTCACAGCCCGAGGGGGTCTGGGAACGGCAGCGCGTCACTGATCAGAATGAGGGGGTCCAACGGTCTTAGTGAAGTGGGGTTCGCGGTCTCTGGAGCCTTGTTGTTCTTGCATATTTGTTGTTGAACTCTCACTCCTGGAATTAATCATGGTCGATCCCCACCTGTGGTGCCCAGTGTTTGCTTTCTTTCAATTCACGTGCCACTCCCGGGGCTTGCACCGTTCTCTAACAAGATCAATTTTGGGGCTTCATACTGGGTTGCTGGCCCCCGAACTACAACAATGACGGTTCCCGCCTGATATTTCCTCACCAGTTATTCGGGAATCGCGCTCTCGCGTGAGACGTCCTCGCAATCTCTTCATAACGCCGCGCCCACGACACCTGGGAATCACGCTATCACCTTGGATTTCTTACCTGGGAATATCGCTATCACTCGAGACTTTCTTGCGATTCATGCATGACTGACGCTTCAACGACCCGCCTGCTTGACCCGGCCGCCTGGGCCCGCTCGCCCGACCAGCCTATTAGGCTGCGCCCGCCAGACCCGCTCGTCTGGTTCTGCCGCAATCCTGCTAATCTCTCTCGTGCTCCATCCTTCTCCTCCCCCCTTGTCTCGTTGTTCCTTCCTCCCTCCTTGTTTTGAAGGGCTTCGCCAAACTCGCGTGGCAGCTCGGGGAAGTAGATTCCCACTGGGGGCACGATCGAAGATGAAGCGGGCGGGCATCGAGGGTTTAGGAAATGTGTGACGAATGGCACGCAAGCAGATAAGAGCGATCAGCTTTAAACATTTGCGAATGTTGACAACTACACATGTAATTATCGCCTCGTCGCTGGCTGCATGTCCTTTTGAATGGGAGCTCGCGCTCAAGCGTTCCGAAGGTGCGTCCAAATCGGACTCCCAACAACAACAATCAGTTTAAGACTGTTCGCTCTTATCTGCTCGCTTGTCATTCAATATGCATATCCCGAACCCTGGATACCCGCCATCTTCGTCTTCGATCGTATCCCCTTTTTTGGGGGGTATATTCATTCCCTGCCACGTGTGGTTGGTGAAGCCCTTGAAACGAAGGGAAACAGATAACGGGGGAGAATGAGAACGAAGGGATCGGCGGAATGGGGGGGAGGGGCAAAAAGGAGAGAGGACGATGAGTTGCGCTGCGAGTGGCGATTCAGCTTGCGCCATGGCTTGCGCCAGCCACTCCAACACAGGTTAACAATAAATTTCGCCTTGGGTCGCGCCATAAACAGCGCCACGTACCACCCCCTTGACAGAACATATCCTAGATACCCCCACGGGGGGACGCACAGCTGCGAAATGGTGTCAGCAACATATTTCGTGGAACCATTCGTATATGGGGCCACAAAGGGCGACAGCGGGGCCACTGAGGGTAGCAAAATGGCCACGAAAGGCAGCAAGAGGGCCACGAAGGACGACAGCGAGGCTACGAAGGTCATGCGTATGGTTGCGAGGACGTCCAAATCGAGAGCGCGATTTCCCAATAAACTGTGAGGAAGTATCAGGCGGGAGCCGCGATTCGGTAGTCAACTGCAAGGAAACCCCACACGAGGGCGCGACTCGTCAACAAACTGTAAGGAAGTATCCGGCGAGAGCCAGTGTTGGCGCGGGCCACGACGGGCACGAACGAGCGGGGGCCCCGAAGGGCATACGTATAGGGGGCCGCAGAGGGCAGCGACGGAGCCGCTGAGGGCAGAAACGGGGCCACGAAGAGCGAGAGCGGGGCCACGAAAGGCATGCATATGGGGCCACGACGGGCGCGAACGAGCGCGGGCCACGAAGGACATGCATATATGAAGCCAGAAAGGGCGACAGCGGGGCCACTGAACGCAGAAAGTGGGCCACGAAGGGCAGAGAGGGGGCCACGAATGGCGACAGCGGGGCGACGAAACGCATGCGTATGGGACCACGAAGGGCGCGAGTGAGCGGGGGCCACGAAGGGCAATTAATCCGGGGCCACAGGGTAGCGACGGGGCCGCTGAGGGCAGAAACGGGGCCACGAAGGGCAGAGAGGGGGCCGCGAAGGTCGACAACGGGGCCACGAGGGGCATGCATATGGGGCCATTACGGGCGCGAACGAGTGGGGGCCACAGAGGGCATACGTATATGGGGCCACAAAGGGCGACAGCAGGGCCACTGAGGGCAGCAAAGGGGCCACGAAGGGCAGCGAGAGGGCCACGAAGGGCGACAGCGGGGCTACGAAGGGCATGAGTATGGGGCCACGACGGGCGATTGCGAGCGGGGGCCACGAAGGGCATATAATGCGGGGCCACAATGGGCAGCGACAGGGCCACTGAGGGCAGCAAGAGCAGCGAGCGAAGGCGACCGCGGAACCAGTACGGACAGCGAGGGGCATCGAAGGCGGGCGAAGGGCAGCGAGCGGCGACTGCAGTCCCTAACGGGCTGGTCGGGCGGGCAGGCCCAGACGGGCGGGTCGAGCGGGCGGGTCGTTGAAACGTAAATTCTGATTGAACCGCCATGCAATATGTAGCGGGAGCGCGATTCCTGAGTGTCGAAGAGCGGCATCTGGATACATAGTGAGGAAGTATCATGCGGGAGCCGCGATTCGGTGGTAAGTTGCGAGGGCGTCCAAAGCGACAGCGCGATTCTTCAATACATTGTGAGGCAGTATCAAGCGGGAGCCGCGACCCAGTGGTAAATTGCAAGGAAGTCCCAAGCGAGAGCGAGAGCGCGATTCTTCAATAAATTGTGGGGAAATATCAGGCGGGAGACGCTATTGTTGTAAACCGGGGGCCAACGACACAATTTGACACTCAAAACTTTCCCTGATAGAAAAACAAGGTGCGAACCCCGGGAAGGGCACTTCAATCGAAAAAAACAATGTGCACCGGACGGGGGGTCAACAACAATTATTATTCAGAGATGAGAGTTCAACAACAACAGCAACAACAACAGCAGCAACAACAACAACAAAAACAACAACAACAACAACAACAAGAACACAGACAACAACAACAACAACAACAACAACAACAACAACAACAACAACAACAACAATTACTAGCACGTGGGGACACTCCGTTCTCACCAGTGCCAGGGTTTTCATAGGAGGCGGGCAATACCCCCACTTTGTGGGGGGGCCGGTTCAAGCTCTACCAAATTTCCAAACGACTCTTCGCCACCACCCACACCCAGCTTCCCGCCCTATGACGTTCGGACACTTCACTTCGTGGCATGCGGACGACCGTGGCTACTATTCAGGGCCCCGCGGCCGACGACGACGGCGTGCGCGCGCGAAGAAAAAACGAATGTGTCCCGCATGGTATTATTTGACAGGGATGATGGCCCTGGCAGGTGCGCAACCGTTGTCGCAGAAGTTCGAAAAAGTTGCTCGCAAAAGCCCGTTTGACAGAAATGTTTAAAAAGTGTTGGGTTTCCTACGAATCCGCAAGAGCGCGCGGGATGAGATTTTGACATTTTTTTGTTGAAAAACCATTGGTTTTTTGATGTTTTTATGTTAAAATCGCTCCGAACACTAAGCTTTTGGAAGGATTTCGTCTTGCGCGCGCGAATGTCCACTTTACCTTATTTTTTGCAAGGGATTCTTGAAATTTGATTATATTAGAACAAGAAATGTCATTTTATAGTGTTTTTTGCAAGGGAAAACGGATTACAACAAAACAACCGGATCTTGATCACATCGTTTTACCTGAGGCTTCCTCACGAAAATGATGAAAATGTAGCTGCGGCCTAGGCGGCGCAGGGGGGGCGCGCACCAGGGGGCCCAACAATAATTATTCTTTAGAATAAATAATGTTCAACAACAACAACAACAACAACAACAACAACAACAATCATTTTACCCGAACGCTCAGTGTTCTCCCCAGTGCCAGGGTTTTCTTGCGACACCAGCCAATACCCCCACTTCGTGGGGGGGCCGTTCAAGCTCTACCAAATATCCAAACGACTCTTCGAGACCACCCACACCCAGCTTCCCGCCCTATGACGTTGGGACACTTCACTTCGTGGCGTGCGGACGACCCTGGCTACTACACTGGCGTGGGGTACACACCCACAGAGGTTGATCACATCTGTTACATATGATGTGGTACACGGTACACGTGAGATGGTACGCAGTGCCAAGATAGTTGGTCACATTTTTGGGGCAAATTCGTGGGGATGCGATTACAGAAGTACATGTGTTACACTGATGTTATACAGTCCCAAGGATGACGCATGCATTGCTCATAGACTCATGGCGCTATGATCCTAACTCTCAGTGCCCAACGCGCGCGTGCACAGCCAGACGGAGGGAGAGAAACACATGTATACAAGGTTCGTGACATACGCACGGTCCACCATGTTGTAAACGATCGCATGCACGGTAAGTTCTGAAATTATACGTATGTACGTATTTTCTGAACATCGCATCTTGAAATTATTGAAAACCCATTGTGTTTGGCAGGATTTCGACATGCGCGCGCGGCGGCCGCGCGCATGTGCACTTCGTCTCATTTTTTGCAAGGGATGGTGGCCCTCGCAGGCGCGCAACCGTTGTTGGAGAAGTTCAAAGCACCTGAAGAAGTAGCACGCAAAGACCCTTTTGACAGAAATGTTTAAAAAGTGGTGTGTTTCCTATGAATCCGCAAGAGCGCGCGGAAGGACATTTTGACAATTTTTTCTTAAAAAACCATTGGGTTTTTGATGTTTTTATGTTAAAATCGTTACGAAACCTAAGGTTTTGGAAGGATTTCGTCTTGCGAGCGCGAATGTCCACTTTACCTTATTTTTTGCAAGGGATTCTTGAAATTTGATCAACTAAGAACAAGAATTTTCATTTTCTATTGTTTTTTGCAAGGGAAAACGAGCGTCAACAAAAAACCGGATCCGGGGGTAATCCACTTTTCTGAAGCTTTCGCAGAAAAATGATGAAAATGTAGCTGCGGCCTAGGTTTTGGGCGGGGGGCGTGCACCAGGGGGTCCAACAATAATAATTCTTTAGAAGTAATAGTGTTCAACAACAACAACAACAACAACAACAACAACAACAACAACAACAATTACTAGCACGTGGGGACACTCCGTTCTCACCAGTGCCAGGGTTTTCATAGGAGGCGGGCAATACCCCCACTTTGTGGGGGGGCCGGTTCAAGCTCTACCAAATTTCCAAACGACTCTTCGCCACCACCCACACCCAGCTTCCCGCCCTATGACGTTCGGACACTTCACTTCGTGGCATGCGGACGACCGTGGCTACTATTCAGGGCCCCGCGGCCGACGACGACGGCGTGCGCGCGCGAAGAAAAAACGAATGTGTCCCGCATGGTATTATTTGACAGGGATGATGGCCCTGGCAGGTGCGCAACCGTTGTTGCAGAAGTTCGAAAAAGTTGCTCGCAAAAGCCCGTTTGACAGAAATGTTTAAAAAGTGTTGGGTTTCCTACGAATCCGCAAGAGCGCGCGGGATGAAATTTTGACATTTTTTTTTGAAAAACCATTGGTTTTTTGATGTTTTTATGTTAAAATCGTTACGAAAACTGAGGTTTTGGAAGGATTTCGTCTTGCGCGCGCGAATGTCCACTTTACCTTATTTTTTGCAAGGGATTCTTGAAGTTTGGTTATGTTAGAACAAGAAATGTCCACTTTAGCTTATTTTTTGCAAGGGAAAACCGATCGTAACAACACAACCGGATCCGGACCAACCCGTTTTGCCTGAGACTTCCTCACGAAAATGATGAAAATGAGGCTGCGGCCTAGGCGCGGCGGGGGGGTCGTGCACCAGGGGTCCCAACAATAATTATTCTTTAGAAATAATAATGTTCAACAACAACAACAAAGCTCCTGCGAGATACTTCCTAACAGTTGACTCCGACAAGCCCTGGCCAGAGAGGGCACACACAGGAAGGACGCTCTCGCCTGAGACTTCCTCGCAAAGTAGCACCGCAAGGGGGTCCTTCAGAGCAATCCTGCCACTAATTGCGGATGCAGGAACGGCCGTTTCGCCTGAGACTTCCTCGCATTTAGTACTTCAAGGGGGTCCTTCAGAACCAAGTTGCTGATACTGGCGCGTGATGGAACGGCGTTTTCGCCTGACGCGTTTGACATGTCAGCACCACAGGTCAGAGCGTTCTTGCTGCTGCTCGCGGATGCCGGAACGGCCGTTTTTCCTGTGACGTCCTCGCAAGTCACCAGCACAAAGGAATCTGTCAGGTCAGTCCTGCCGCTACTTGCCAAGGCCACTGGAAACCCCAGGACGCTCCAGGCAGATGCGTTCGGGGAGCGTTTCGCCGCCCTCCCGCCCCCAGAAGGCCCCAACAGTCATTTTCTGTTTGGGACCTGAGTTCGGGGAGCGCTTCTCGACCCTTCGCCCCAATGATGCCTCAAGAGACACATTTCTCTATTGAAATATGTGTTCGGGGAGCGTTTTTCGGCCCCCTCGCCACCAGGAAAACGCCAGCCGCAGGAGGTCCTCAGAGACCACAGGAGGCACATGTTTGTAGTGGGATGCGTGTTTGGGAAGTACATGTGGCCCCCCCGCGGATTTCGTCCCCATAGGCTTCGCATCCCCTCTCCTCGGGGTCGATTCCTTTGTGGTTTACGTATGTGCATCGTGTTATGTATGTATGTATGCATGTATGTATGTATGCTTGTATGAATGCATGTATGTTTGCATGTATGTATGAATGAATGTGTGTATGTCCGTGGGTGATGTATGTATGAATGTATGTAGGTGTGTATATGTGTATGTATGTGTGGCTGTATGCATGTTTGTATGGATGTGCATGTGTATGTGTATGTGTATGTGTCTGTGTATGTGTGTGCGTGTATGTGTACGTGTACGTGTCTGTGCATGTGTGGGTGTATGTGTACGTGTGTATGTGGGTTTGTCCGTATGCATGCTTATATGTATGTATGTTTGTATGGATGTATGCATGTATGTATGTATGTTTGTTTGTATGTGTGTATAGGTGTGTGAGTGTATGTGCGGATGTATGGTTGTACGCACGCGCGTACATTTGAGTGTGTGTGTATGTATGTACGTACGTATGTATGTATGTATGTATGTATGTATGTGTATGTATGTAGGCATGTACGAACGGATGTACGAATGCATGTATGTATGCATGCAGGCATGCATGTATGCATACATGCTATGTATGTACGTATGTACGCATGTATATGGAATGCCCTCCCGGCTGGGGCTCGAATCCTTGTGCTGTACGCATGTTCCTACATATTGCCCCTCGACTGGGGCTCGAGTCCTTGGTGTCTTACGTATGTTCCCATGTATTGCCTCTCATTGGGCTCGCATCCTTCGTGTTTCGAATCCTCACCGCTCCCCAAGAAGTCGCACTGATGTGTTACGTGTCGTGCGAGCTGAAAATGGGAAAGTGCCTCGGGAGAGGTACTAGCTCGACCTCCTCGGGCGGGAGATCTGGGTGTACGAATGTCGGCCCCCATGTCCACATAGATCCCCAAGAGGGGATGACATCATGATGAAAGCATGCGGCACGTAGAGGCATACCGCAGTAAGGTAAAATGTTTGGATTCCCATGTCTAACGAAAATCGATTGCGGAAAAGTATTGTTGGTCCCTCAGCCCAACGAGGCAGGTAAGGACGATATACCCCCCACGGGGTTATGATCGAAGGGGATCAAGGGTTTCGGGATACACATGTTGAGTGGCACGCGAGCAGACAAGATCGACCAGACTTCAACTGATTGTCATCGTAATCGTCGGCGACCTCGCCCGCGATCGCCCGCAACCCACCCGCGATCACCCACCCGCGGCTCACCCGCGACCCACCCGCGACCCACCTCGCGCCCGCCCCCGTTACTCTTACTCGCAACTGCGGGGTGCTACTTACGTGCTCTCCTTCCTTCCCTTCCAACATCTCTCAGACTGGCCCTCCTCCGACTCCCCCCGCGCCGCCGGCGGCACGCAGGCCAGGGGCTGCCGCTCCACGATCCTGGGGGGCGACGTCAGGGGGGGACCGGCTCAGGGGGGGAGACGTCGAGCTCGAATCGGCGATACATCGCCGACAGGGTCGGCGACAGGCCCGCGACAGCGAATCTGCACGTTTTTGGGCGGGGTGGGCGATCTATCGGGCCGCTATCGGCGATGAATGGGGCCATTTGGGGGCCTTTTCCCCCCTCAAATGTTGCCCCTCAGATCCTCCCCGTCTCGAAGCCTGGCACGAGCAGCCGGCCCCGCTTCAGCACCCGCGAGTGCCTCGGCGGGGCGAACACGGGCTGGCCTGGGAGGGGGCGGCGGCCACACCTGACCTGGCGCGGCCCGCCCTGGTACCAGGATTGGTGATGCGGAGGCTATGTTTCTCCAGACTCTGGCAAGAGATCCGCGCGTCGTAATCTTTTCGAGTCGCTTGTGCTCGCCTAGCGTCGGGCCCCGCGACCCGCGCAGATCGATCCGTCCTGGAAAATGACGCAACAAGCTGGGGTCTAGGGCTCCAGTCGTGAATTTTGCGATGTTGCATTTTTGGGGGTCAACGTCACATCTGAAGGCTGGCCCCAGGATCGGTGATAGAGGCTGTTTCCCTTTTTTGACACCAGCGAGCTTGCTGGCATTGATGGGGGGGTCAATGGCGAGGCCTGAACGGGAATCTGGACTTCACGCAAATCGGGACCCAATCACGTGCACGCCGTCTTCGGCCCAGCGCTGTTTGAACAGGCGGCGGAGGTGGGGTGTGTGCGTGTGCGAATGTGTGTTGGGAGGGCGGGCTGGCGGGCGACAAGCCATGCAAGCAAATTTGCCCCAGTCTCAAATCGAACGCCCTCAGATGCGCCCTCCTGGCTTGGCAAGAGGCCAAGATCTCCGACGATCTGGCCTCGTCAAGGCGCGGTTTCCCCTTCCTCAAAGCCTCCAGGGTCCCTCCCTCATCGGGCCCCGAGACCAGCCGGGACCTCCGAGGCCGCGCGCTGAGCACATCACATCGCAGGATCTCTGGGGAGGCGCATGCACCCGTCCTGGGCCCATGGTCGGGCGGGCCAGGGCCGGTGCAGGTGTGCAAGCCCTCGCAGGCCGTCCACGAAGACTTCTGCGACGACCGGGATCGCGGCTGACTCGGGCGGGCCCCGGTAGCACACGCGGATGTCGTACCTGCCAGGGCGCTCACATGGGCTGCCCGAAGCTGCCTGCCAGGGCGCTTCAGCTTCCTTGGGCAGCCCGAGTGCACCTGCCAGGGCGCTTCCCCGAGGCGCCCAAAACGGTGACAGCCAGGACGCTTCCCTGGGCAACCCTGCAGGAATGATCTCCTAGAACGTTTCCATTGCTCAAGTCCTCTAGGCTGACTCCTGCAAGGAGCGCTCGCTCATCCAGATTTCTCTACGCCACGGCGACCTGGCAATGTTCGTTGTGACCTGACGGCAACGCACCAGAGGATATATCAACCATTCGTGGCCGCGAGGAATGCTGAATGTGTGTGAATGTGTGCGAAAGAACCATAGATTTCGATGTTCCTCTGAGCCCTGCCGAAGGTACCGCGTCCCCGGGCGCCCGAGCACGAAGAAGCCGTGGTCGTCGCGGAGGCGGTCCAGCGGCCGGCCGTCCACGAGCACCTCCACGGAGAACCGCGCTTCCGCCATCGCCAGGCGGCGACGGGCGCGCGCCAGGGGCGGGCCATGGGTGGCGCGGGCAGAGCCCGCCCCGAGGTGCCCGTGAGAGCGGCGACACTACAGCCTGGTGGCGCACACAAGTGGGAGGGGGGAGGGGGGGAAGGCTTCTTGGAAGGGGGCTGCTTCTTGGAAGGCGCCGGCCTGACATCTGCAGACGGGGCCCGCGCCTTCTAAGAAGCAGGGGTCCTTCTAGGAAGCCTTCCCCCCTCCCCCCTCCCTCCCTGCTCCCGTGGCCGAACAGCCCAGACCGCACAGGCCGGCCATCTGCCCGGGAGCATGGTGAGACTGTCCACGCGTCGGGCCCCCAGCGACAGCCCCTCAGATCCTGGCGTTGCAGATTATCTTCACGACAGGAGGCTTTGCCTTGCGTCGGGCCCCGGGACCCTCACAGATCGATCGGGCACGAACAATGGCGCGATGTTTCGCGATGTTGCAGTTTCTTACAACGTCAGATCCGAAGGATCTGCCTGGGAGCAGGGTGAGAGAGATCACACGGCGGGCCCCCGACGAGAGCGACAGTCAGCAGATCCTGAGTAAGGGAGCAGAACACCTGTGCCGCGCAGTCCTCTGGGGGCTTGCCCTCCTGGGCCCTGGCCGAACTGCTCGCTCTGCTCGGCCGCTGCCGCTCATTTCTTTTCCAGGTCTACTGCTGCCGCTTGCCACTCTCGAAAGTGCATCGTTGGTGCCCGCAGCGTAAGAAAAAATGAGGAGGAGGAGCAGCAGCAGCAGGAGCAGGAAGAGGAGGAGCAGGAGCAGGAACAAGACCAGGAGAGGCAAGGGGAGGACGGAGAGGGCGGGAGGGAAAGAAAGGGGAAGGGAAAGCTCAGCTGGTGCTACGAGAGGGGGCGCCCCCCCCAGAGACTTCAGGAAAGGCGACAGAAGCGCCCACGAGCATGCCGCCGATCCGCGATCATCGACGCGCTACCCCGTCGAACCTCGAACGCACAGCTGAGCCTCGAGGCCAGCTCGAACGAACGCCGAGCGTTTCTCCATTGAGCCGCTGCCCTGGACGGCCACCAGGAGGAGGCGACGTCGGCGGCTGTCGCCACGACGGAAGCGGCGAACGACCAGCCGACTGGCCGACTTCTCGATCACCGACGACGCCGACGACTCAGACCTCCGAAGTCTTGCCAGCAAACGAAGTCCATTGGACCGCTTTCTCAACCCAATTTTCCGACGGCCCCGCGGGCCCAATGGCAAGTCGCCACTTATTCGCAACCGAAAGGCTATGATATCCGCCGGTATGATTTGATCAACCCGCGGATGAGGTCCCAAACGTTTCCCCGTGGGTAGTGTTTCGTCCCCGTTGGTAGTCTTTCGTTCCTAGAACCTGGAGGCCTATTTCTGTAGCCCTCGTTTGACGTCCGAGTTCGTGCTTTGACCCCTGTTTGGTCTGCAGGCCGCAACCCCTGACCAGATCGAACGGAAAACAAGCCTCTGATGGCCGCTCCTGGCCGCCTTCGCGGGCGGGCGCGTGGTCTTTGTCGCTGCGGTGCAGAGAGGCGGAGGCGGAGGAAGAGGAGGAGGAAAACGCGACGGCTCGCGCAAACCAACGTGCGTCCAACGAAGAGGAAGAGGAGGGGAGGGAGGAGAGATAGAAGGAGGAGGAGAGGGAGGAGGAGGAGGAGGAGGAGGAGGAGGAGGAGGAGGAGGAGGAGGAAGAAGACGAGCGAGAGGGGTCCAAATCGAGTACAAACCGTCGGTTGGAAAAACCGATATCGTCGAAGATGTGGGCCTGTGGACGCGCCCGACGACGGCAGCGACGGAGGCCGCGACTGCCACGGCAGCTCGGCGCGGCCGCCCCAGCAACACCGCCGCGCGCGGCCGCCTTCGCCTGGTCCGCCACGGCGGAGGCGGCGTCCACGGCGCACGAGGCCCCGCTGACAGCGCAGAAGACGCCGAGCAGCCTGCCGCGGGCGTGCTCTTCTATGGGTTTGTTCCATTCACGCTCCTGCCGTCATCGTCATCCTCAAATGCCGACACTGCCGCCATCATCAATACAACCACTTCTATTTCCGACACATGGACATTCCAGTGTCTAGACGGACTCAACCCCGTTCTCCGAATACACGATTTGGCCATCCGAGATCGAGGCCGCGGTGCGCAACTCCCTTGCCAGCCTCGAGGAGTGCAGGGAAAGGGCGGTCCCAGATCCCCGACGGAATGACTGCTGCTAAACGGCGTATGTTCCTAGACTTCTGCCTCTGAAGTAGGTTTTCGGGACCCGGGGCCACCAAAACCGGATCTGGGACGAACAACTACCCTTCGGGGGAGCGGTCGGGACCTTTCTGGGGCCTCGGATTGAACAATCCGCTGACCATGTCGGAGTGTGGAAGGCGCTGTTCTATTTGACTCGTCGTCGTCGTCGTCATCGTCGTCGTCGTCGTCCTTGTCGTCCTTGTCGTCCTTGTCGTTGTTGTCGTCGTCGTCGTCGCCGTGGCGTTTGACCACCTTTCCTCTCTATGCTCGTCGCGTTCCCCCCCCTTTCGCTGGGCCCTCCTTTTCAAGCGAGCCAGCCAGCCAAGACGAAACCGAAACGAAACTAAGCAACGTCGTAGTTAAGTCGAAGGGAAGCCCCTTCCCTATGACCCCTTACCCTCGAGGGGGAGGGTCCCCGGAAGTGTCCAGGGGGGGGGTACCGGGTCAGAATACCATCCTTCCCCGGGGGGCCCTGGGGGCCGAAAAGACCCAATACAGCCTGAGAGGCCCCCAAGACGGTCCAAGAGGGTCCCGAATCGCCGAACAATCTGTACAAAACGCCAAAGATGGCCTCCTGACAGCCCAAGCGGCTTACAAGACGCTCGACGAAGCCTCCGAGAGCACAGCAAGATGGCCCCAACAGGCAAAATTCATTGATGCTCTGTAGGCTTTTGCAAGATTATGCCGTTCTCGCCCTTTCGGGCTACCAGACACCCCAAGACCGGCCAAGATGCCACCGAGATCGGCACAAGAGGAATCCAAGACGGCCCCCAAACGACCGAAGAGGGCCCCAAGACAGCCCTAGAGGCCTCCCAGACGGCTCAAGAGGCCCCCAAAACGGCTTCAAGAGGGTGCCTTCACGGGAGCCCATCGAACATGCCGAGCCCTCAGCCCCGAGACGCTCCCAGGAGGCCCCAGGAGGCCCCAGGACGCCCGAAGGGACTCCCAAGAGGCCCCCAAGATGCTCCCAAGAGGCCCCAAGACTGCTCCCCAGAGGCCTACGAGCGCGCTCCGAAGAGGCCCCAAGAAGCATCACTGAGGACTCTGCCCAACGTCAGCATCGTCGTCGCCGCCGACGCCGACCTCGTGATCGTCGTCACCCTTCAGGATCGGTGGCACTGGTCGGAAATCTTTCTCAAAATTGGACTATCAAAAAATGTTGCCGCTACATCATTTAGCTTTATGCTGGGGCCGCAGTCACACACCAGTGCCGGGGGAACGCTGCGAGACCTCGCCAGGCTGTGTAGCTCCGTGCTGCCCATGATGGCCGATACACTGCCAAGCCCTCTTGACACGAACAGAATGGACGGTGCCATGTTCGGCCTCAGGAAAGACGGAACCACGACGAGAATAAATCTGGGTGGGGATGAATCGAGAACCTCTGAGATCAGCGGCTCTGGAGGATGTCTCGGGCGCCGCGGCCTTCTCGTTCCGGGACGCTCTGAGAGAATCCCGGAAGGCTCTGCGAGGGACTTATCCCCGTCCTAACCCCGCCCGATCAGGAGCCGTTTTCGGGCCCCGAGGCCGCCTGAAACCAATCCTGGGCACAAGCAACACAGCATCCCACGGGGAGGGGTCCAGAGGCCCAGGCCCTGGACCTCTCGACCCCCTTCTGCCGCGGGGCCAGGAAGCCCGCGGCGTGGCCAACGAGAACGAGAGCCCAAGGGGGAGGGGAGGGGAGGGGGAAGGCTTCTTCGAAGGAGGCTGCCTCTTGGACGGTGCCGGTCATACATCTACAGACGAGGCCCGCGCCTTCCAAGAAGCAGGGGTGCTTCCAAGAAGCCTTCCCCCGTCCCCCTACCCCCCTCTGCGCGTGGCCGACCCTTGGTCGCAGCACCAGCGGGCTCGGCGCGGTAGGGGCTATGGTGAGCCGCGCGGTAGCTGACTGTGCCTACACAAATTGCTCAAACGGAGAGGCGGTCGCGTAGGCAGGACAGGAGGCGGGGGGGGAGGCGGGGGGATGGTGGATGGCCGCGGGGGTCCGGCGGTGGACGCTGCGGGACAATTCGTCCCATAGCGTGCGCATCAGCAGGAGGCACTCTGCGATGGTGAGCATCGTCATTAGTGGCGCTGTTGGCTTCAGGCTCCCTCAGGAGTTGCGCGAGGTGGCTAACATCCCCGATGCAGAAGTAGGAGCGGAAGGGCCATCAAAATCAGATGCACTCCAGACCCGCCCAGGCCAAGCGGCTCCGAAAGCTCGAAAGAGAGAGAGAGAGAGAGATCCAGTAACTCGAAAGGTACATATATATATATATATATAAAGAGAGAGAGAGAGAGAGAGAGAGAGAGAGAGAGAGAGCGAGACAGAGATAGAGAGAGAGAGAGAGAGAAAAAAGAGAGAGAGAGAGAGAGAGAGAAAGAGAGCGAGAGGGAAAGAGAGAGAGAGAGAGAGGAGAGAGAGAGGAGAGAGAGAGAGAGAGAGAGAGTGCCCAACACCCTGGAGTTCGCTCACACCCTGGCCGCGCTCGTCGATCCCCCACACGATCTAGCCTCGTGCCCCACGACGCGCGGTCATCCTCGCGCCCCGGCGCGGGCCCCTCTGGAAAAGGGCACCTGCTGGCGGCCCACGCTGCGGGGCGCTGAGCTCATTTAGTTATCCCCGCGTCCACGCGGGCGATCCAAAAAGCTTGAAAGAAATCGGTTGTCACAAATCGGGATTGCTGAGCTGCGACCAGCCGCGGCAGCGAGAGCGAGCCCCGAAGAGACGCAAAATCAAACATCTTCGCTCAAAAGTGTTCGCACCTCTGCGGGTGACCTCGGCGTGGGTTGTC